CTTCCTCTCAACTCTCAATCACTTCTCTTTTTCCTCCTCTTTTCTCTCCTAATCTCTCTCCTTTCCTCTCCTACTTCATGTTTTTTATTCCTTTCCCTTTCCTTTCTTTTTCCTCCTCTTTTCTCTCTTAATCTCTCTCCTTTCCTCTCCTACTTCATCTTTTTTATTCCTGTCCCCTTCCTTCTTTCCCTTTCTTCTTCCTCTACTTCTCCCATTTCTTTTCCCTTCCTTCTCTCTGCCTTTGTCCTTTCCTTGTAGTCCCTCAGGTCTGTCCATCTCTCTTAGCCACATCTCTAGCCTTCCCAATCTCCCTCTCCTGGTGGTCCCCGGGGCTCCCTGTTCCTCATTTCTCCTCTTCCCAGCAGCTTCTCACTCAAGGGGCTGTGGCCCAGGCTGTCACCAGTGGAGAAACCAAAGGCAACTTCTTCACCATGTTTCTGGCTGGCTCTCTGGCTGTTACAGTAGCCATATATGTGGGTGGTAATGTCTCAGGTGAGGAGGGCGGGGTGTGCATATGAATGTGGATGGCTGTGGATGGTGAAAAGGCAGGTCCTTTGGTGACTCATGGACATTATCTCCTTGAACTTGGCCAGTGCCCTGGACCGAGATAAGCCTTTGGCTCTATCCAGCCTCTCCCCTTTCTGTATCTCTCCATTTCTCTTCCTCATGCTAATCCCAGGAAGAGGGCATGGAGGGTAGATGCTCTCTTCTTGTGCCCCACCTGAAGGCCTCTGGGGCTCATCTCTGCTCAGGACCTTGTCCTCTTGTCCCTCAGATACACAACGTGTCTCTCAGATACACGTGTGTCAACATGCCTGGCTAGAGTGAGCAGGTAGACCCAGGTTTACATCTTGGCTTCACTGTGTGATCCTGATAAGTCACTTAACATCCCTGAGCCTCAGTTTCCTAAGCTATGTGATGGGAATAATATTATCTGTCTTAAGGATTGTGCAACGGCATAGTAATGTTGCTTGGCGACAGTGCCTGGCAGCTACAATTAATGGATGCTGGTTTTCTTTACTTGATCCTTGAAGGGGCCCATCTGAATCCAGCCTTCTCCCTGGCCATGTGCCTCCTGGGACGCCTCCCCTGGACAAAGCTCCCCATTTACTCCTTCATGCAGCTGCTGTCTTCTTTCTGTGCCTCGGGAGCCACCTATATTCTGTACTATGGTAAGAAGAAGGAACAGGGTTAGGGGCACCTGTGTGTGGACAGAGGTGCCTCAGAATGGTTTTGGATGAACAAAGATGGAAACCCTGGATGTCCCCCTCCTCTACAGATGCCCTACAGAATTATACAGGTGGGAACCTGACCGTGACTGGCCCCAAGGAGACAGCCTCCATCTTTGCCACCTATCCTGCCCCCTATCTGTCCCTGAACAATGGCTTCCTGGATCAGGTGCGTGTGAGGGTGAAACCTGGGAGACCCAACCTTTGCCCTATCCCTTGGGACCCCAGCCTTTTGTTCAGTCTGGGGGCAGGGGTTGGCTCTATACTGGCACCCTCCTCCCCACTCCAGCTGACTGTGTTGAACAAAGCCAGATGCCATGGGGATGATGGCAAGGAGTGTTTTGATGAGAAAGGGCAGATTGCTGGGCGCGATGGCTCACGCCTGTATAACACTCTGGGAGGCCGAGGCGGGAGGATCGCTCAAAGTCAGGAGTTTGAAACCAGCCTGAGTAAGAGCAAGACCCCGTTTCTACTAAAACAATAGAAAGAAATTAATTGGTCAACTAAAAATATATAGAAAAAATTAGCCGGGCATGGTGGCGCAGGCCTGTAGTCCCAGCTACTCGGGAGGCTGAGGCAGAAGGATCACTTGAGCCCAGGAGTTTGAGGTTGCTGTGAGCTAGGCTGATGCCACGGCACTCTAGCCTGGGCAACAGAGTGAGACTCTGTCTCAAAAAAAAAAAGAAAGAAAGAAAGAGCAGATGGAGCACCTGGCACCTGATGAAGATCCCTTTGTCTCTGTTGACTCCAAGGTTCTGGGCACTGGGATCCTGATTGTGGGGCTCTTGGCCATCCTGGACAGACAGAACAAGGGAGTCCCTGCAGGTCTGGAGCCTGTGGTGGTGGGACTGCTGGTCCTGGTCATCGGGCTATCCATGGGTGCCAACTGCGGAGCCCCAATCAACCCTGCCCGGGACCTGGGCCCACGGCTCTTCACCTACGTGGCTGGCTGGGGCCCTGAAGTATTCAGGTGGGAGATGGCCTCCCTGGTACTGTCCTTTACTCTGCTAAGGTCTCTGTCCCTGAGTCCCCAGCATTCTTCTCTTAAATAGTTCTCCTGGCCTCTTAGAACAGTTTCCCTTCTCCAAGCCACATGTTCTCCCCTTTCTCCCTTGCCTCCCTCCCCCCTTTTCACTGAAACAGTAACATTTAGAGGTTGTATTTTTAGGCACATCGTACTACCTCTTTGAGCTCTAGTGACCTCATCAGCAAAATGAGTATATTCAGGTAATTCCCTAAGGCAAAAGGCTGGACCAAGGTCTCCTGGCATTCCTTTTTCTCTAATTGCTACCCTTTGCTGTCAAGACGATACTCTTCCTGGTGACCATCACCCCAGGAACTACTTTAGGGATCTCTCCTGTTACTGTCCCCAGTCTTTAGAGAGGGGGAAGCTAAGGGAGTCACCCCTGACACCTCTCTTTATTTGTCCTTCTCTTGCAGTGCTGGTAATGGTTGGTGGTGGGTGCCTGTGGTGGCCCCTCTGGTGGGAGCCACCCTTGGCACAGCCACATACCAGCTGCTGGTGGCTCTGCACCACCCTGAGGACTCGGAGCCAGCTCAGAATCTCAAGTCTGCCCAACACAAAGCCTCAGAGTTGGAGACTCCTGCCTCAGCTCAGATGCTGGAGTGTAAACTATGATAGCCACAGCCCTCTCTGCACTCGCGGACTCTGGACAGAGCCACGCACCCCGCCTGGTAGCAAGACAGACATTCTCTTTACTGATATGCCAGACCCTGGGAAGCTTCTCTGTTTACCCATCTAGGCATCCCTTCCTCCTAAACTAGGAAGGATCGTGGACAGAGAGAACTGGAGGAGGATCAGGCCAAGGGACTCAGGCTCGTCATCCCTTCCTCCTCCAAACAGGTGTTCTGACCCTCAGGCCCTCTAAGAACGTAGTTGCTCAAAGTGGCCGCCAGAGGGTGCGCAGCGGGATGCTTAGCAGGGAAGGCTGTGGGAATCTGCGGGGTGGAGGGCCCCACCATCCAGAGTGGCTGCGGGGAGCCTGACGCCGAGGACTTCCCTGCTACGCGTGGTCCCAACTGCCGACCTCCAGCTCTCGCCGCCCGCCTTTACCCTCGCGGGGGCGCCTCCCTAGACGCCGCCGCCCCGGACGGTGGTTAGGGGTGGGGAGCTGCCTCCACCCGGGGGCGTGGTGGGGGCGGAGAGCGGGAGCGCGGCGGCGCCCGGCCCTTCCCGCGTCTGGAGACTGGGAGAGCAAGGCGGAGAAACTGAGGCACAACCCGGTACCTAGACTTTCCGGGGCGGTGTCATTCAAGGAGAGGATGAGACACAGTGAGATAAGCCAGGCCTGGAGGGAAGGTGAAGGAACAGAGGGCGGACGGCCCTGCGGAGCGTGAGTCGGGGGCTAAGAGGAAACTGACGCCGAGGACCACTCTCGTTCGCCACTGTTCCAGCCCTCGCGCCCCTCCCTGCAGAAGATGCTTTTTTGCAGAGAAGGCAGTGTTCCTCTGTTCCATTTCTTCCAAATTAAAAAAGAGAACCACCTCAGAGCTATTCGCCTCCTGAATTTTCCTGATTTTTCTTTTTATAGATGCGGAATGGACGTGTGTGTGTGCCGGAGGGGCCGGCCTGGCAAAGCCAAGCCTGGGAAGGGTCAAGACCCCCCCCCTGCCCCGCACAAAGATGGCGGCGCCCTCCTTCTCTCTCCCTCACCCCTCCCCAAAACCCCCTCCCGCCCCCCGCCCTCTCCCGCCGCCTCCGTCACTTCCGCCCCGCCGTGGCCGAAACTGACACAAAGTAGCGGGCCGAGGCCCCGGGGGGAGCGGGGCTGCAGCTGGGGGGCGGGAGCCCGCGGGGAGCCGAGCCGAGCGCCCCCGCCCCAGCCCCCGGCATGGGCAGGACAGGGCCGCCGGGCCGGGCGCCGAGCGCGGAGCGCTGAGGTGAGGCGAGGCGGGCGGGGGCGGCCCCGGGGCGCGGGCCGGGAGGGCAGAGGGAGATGCGACTTGGGGCTGGAGGGGCCCGGGAGTGGGGTGTGGACGCGGGAGGGCGGGGGAGCGGAGTCGGGAGCCGCGCCGAGGCGGGGCAGGGGAAGTGGACGATTGGCGAGAAGCGGGTGTCGGGGTGCCTGAGGATGGGGGAGACCGGCAGGCTGTCCGCAGGATGGGAGGATGGGGTGCTGACGGGGCGCGTGGAAAGCAGGGTTAGGGGCGGGGAGTGCCAAGGAGAAGCTTGTGGAAAACCAGAGAGGGGAGAACCGCCTAGAGAGTTGTGGGGGTGAGAGGAGTAATCGGGGTCCTAGGGTTTAGGTGCCCGGAGAACGGAGTTTGGGGCTGGGAGGCTTTGTCTCGGAAGGTGGAGGTCTCTGTGCCTTAGGAAGACCAAGGGTGCCAGGAGGAGAGGTAGCTTTGGGAGCTCAGAGCTGTGGAGTGAGTCCTGAGTTCTGCCCTTGGTGATGGAAGGTGGCTGGAGCTGGTGTTCTTTGCAAGTGAGCTGGGGGTCTTGGATTCAATTTCCTCCTGTTTTCCAGACCTACTATCCTCCTCTGAAAGAAGGAGTTAGGCCTCGGGGCTCTTGGTTGGAGGGAGTAGGGACCAGACCTATAGAAAGAGCCGTTTTCCTTCATGGAGCATTGCCTCCTTCCCAGGGCTGGCTATTTTTATCCCAAATGTGGCCGCAGAGGGGGCTGGGGCAGGGTGACGGGGCAGGGCGACGTGGCTGATGGGCCTGACCTGTTCAGAAAACCCAGGCTATGTGAGACTGGGAAGGAGAAGTGAGAGGGGGTCCCTGTTCCCAGGCCTCCCTTCCCTTTTATGCCGCCCGCCCGCAGGGGATGAGCCCTGGGCCAAGCCTGCTTTCAGTCTCCCCAGGGTCTTAGAGGTAAAACAACTTTCCTGGTGGGTGTCCAGATTCCTCACTCCTGATGGCATGCAGCTCCTTCATTAACTCTTTCATAGGACTCAAACCCAGTCCTCTGATAGTGTTTCTTGGTTGCCTCCCTCCCCAAGGGTGGTGCTGGCTTTGGAACCTGTGATGCCCACCCTTACATCCTTTCCTTTCACCTCTCCCTCCACACCCACCCTCCCATGACTCATACTCTAGACTGGGTGGAGACCCTGGCTGGGGGCCCTGGAGGAGGGCTTGGCATCTCTAAAATGTGGATGAGATTTTTCTTCCTGAGCCAGGCACCCTTGCCTGCCATAGTGGGGAAGGTCAGGGATGGAAAGGACTTCTGGCTTTCAGGATTGCCTGATCTGGGGTCAGGGAGGGAGTCTGAGGTAGTGAAGGGAGAACTGGTGTGGGTGACTGAGCCGTGGCCAGAGTCTGTAATTATAGAGGTTGGGCAGACAGGCAATTAGTATCTCTTGGGGCTGACAGGCTGGTGGGGTGTGCCCAGTAGGCTGGAGGCAGGGGAACCAAGGAGGAAGAGGTGGAAGGCCCTCCACTCAGAGGAGGAGGTGACAGGCTGGCAGCTTCCCTTGGGCCAGGCTGGGGGATAGGGATGAAGCTCTGTGACCCTGTCTTGTAGGCCAGGCCTCATACCTATCTAGGAGAAAGAAAAGACATGTGGAAGGAAGCAGAGGCCTGTCTGAATGATGCTACCTGAGCCTACACCCAGTGCCACACTGGCCGGCCTAGGCTTGGGTTGCTAGGGGTGGAAAGACCCCTCTGCTGGCCCAGAAGGGGGCTGGCCCAGACTGAGAGGAAGTGGTTTGGGGACTGTCTGTGCAGGAAGTGAGGGCCATGCCTTTAATGTGAGCTCCCCTGGAGGAGGTGATAATGGAAGCCCCAGTAATGAGGGGGATGGGGGAATTGTAAGCATTTCAAGAAGTGTGGAGCCTGCCCACTCTATTTCCTGATGCCCTGCCAGGTGTTTCCTGACTTATAGTCTTTCCACCCCACCCTTTGGGGGAAATTCTGCTTTCTAGTAAGCACAGACACCAGTCATTGCCACCAGGAAGGCACATGGGAACATCCATTGTCCCTGGGATGGATGCCTTGAGAGCTGTGTCCCTCTTCAATATCTGGCCTGTTCTCCTTTCTCCCTTCCCCTGCAGGCCTTGGTTCCTGTAAACTCTCAGTCTCCCCATGTTACCCAAGGCGGATGCATGATGGGAGGCGCCCTGCGGTCCCCTCTTCTTTCTCAGGGACCCATGAGGGCAGTAAGAGAAGAGAGTGTTGGTGGAGCTAGTGGGAGAAGGCTGGGGGAGGGGCAGGGTCAGAGCTAGAGAAGAGAACATCCAGAGGGCGCCTGATGAGGGGAATGAAGGGTTACCCTCTGCTTCCTGACCTCACTCATCTGTCACCTTCCTGCAGGGACTCCCATGGGATTGCTGGGACCTTGCTGGGTGAGATGGCACTGTGTGCAAAAAAGCGCCCCCCAGGTAAGATAGGCAAGGAGAGGGGATCCCCGGGACCATCAAGGGTTTGCGTTGTTATGGCTCGGGAAGCAAAAGGAAAAGGGACAACTGGTACGGGTCTGAGGACGGGTAGATTAAAACCCCTGCCCATCTTGGGGGTAGTCTAGGACACCGAATTCTTCCGCTTGATCCCAGAGCTGGGCTCTCTGCTGTGACGAGGCTGAGCACCAGCCCCCACCCGAACACCTGCACTCTTATCTTGGGGCACCTGCAGCTCCTGATCTCGGGCCTAGGGAGCTGTGTTCTCAACTCCCCTCGTCCTCTCACCTCCTTTCTCCCCTCATTTTTCCATCCACCTGGCTCTCCTCGTTTTCCCGCGGGCGGGGTGGGGGATGAAAGCGGTTGCCCGCGACAACGCTCTGCAGTCCGCTCACCCGCATTGGCCCGGCCCGGGGTGGGTGGGTGGGGGCGGGGCCTGCGCGCTGGCTTTCGCCTACGCGGCGCGCTGGCAGGCGCTGCCCCTGCAGTCGGGGGAGCGGGCGGGGGCGGAGCCCCGGGCGTGCTCACCGCGTCCCGGGCCACTCAGCGCACGCTGGCGCCCGCTGGGGGCACTGGGGGTGGTGGTGGCTGCGGCGCAGTAGCTGAGCTCGGGGCGTCCCCGAGCGCAGGCGGCTGAGAGGATGGCCTGGGCTGCGAATGGGGCGCGCGCCCTTTGGCCGGGGCTCCCCTCTGAGCGGCCACAGCTTCTTCACCTCCCTGGGGGTCCGCCCCGTCGGCGCCGCTGAGGCCAAGGACAGACAGTCTGCTCTCCCCCGCTCAAACCGGGATCATGACGGTCCCCAAGGAGATGCCCGAGAAGTGGGCCCGGGCTGGGGCGCCTCCCTCTTGGAGCCGAAAGAAGCCCTCTTGGGGGACAGGTAACGGGAGGCAGCGCCTGGCAGCTCTCCTGCGTCAGTTATTTCCCCCCTCCAATCCCCACATTCACTTATTCGCAGCCTCCCCAGCCTTCCCTGATCCTTCTTGCAGACCCAGAGATGCTGGCTCCGGAGGGTCCAGTCCCTGCCTTCTTTCTTTGCGTGATTGCGTGATTGGTCTTTGGTGATTGCGCAGTGGACTCTCTAGGGAGGTCCCAAGGGGGCCTCTCTAGGGAAGTTTCTGGAGTAAAGTGGCTCAGAGGCAGAGGCCACTATGGCCTGGGCTTTTGTTACTGCAGTGTGCTCTGCAGGGGTCTTGGGGGATGGTGTTGAGGGGTCTGGTATGTAGTCTTTGGACAGATATAAGGCATTATGTTTACTAAGTAAGTTATTACTCCCTTTTAGAGCCTGAGGTCACGGTGACCCTCCGAGGAGATGGGCTTCACAGGACAGCCCCTTGTTTTGACTTGAACTTGAACTTGGTGCCTGCAGTCCCAGACTGGTGGAGGTTCAGGATAGATGTAGCTAGATAGGTGTCACTGAGAGACAAATGAGTGAGCCCTTTAAGGGAAATGTGTGCAGATGGTACAAGAAAGGTTACAGTTAGAGAGCAACTGTTTCAATTACATTTCATTCCTCCTTCCTCCCTCTCTGTCTCAGTCTGCATGACCCATATCCCTGACCCCCCCCTCCCCACTTCTACTTGAAGATGAGCTTTGAAATAAGGTGATGTCATTGTGGGCCAGTCAGAACTGCTGCTGGTGACATGTGACAAGCAGAGGCTCCTGTAGGGGGGACTGCACGTGGGGCTGGGATGCTGCCGCAGAGCAGCTCCAGGGCACAGTGACCCTCCTTGCCACCTTCCCTACCCCCTGGATTGGGGGAGAGCAGTACCATGGCTAGATCTGCAGTGGTCCTCAGCAGGAGGGAAGCTTTGTGTCTTCAGTGCTACTCCTTGATTATGACAATGGATGAATTAATAGCAGCAAAAGAGTCTGTGGATCCTCAAGACCATTAATGGCTAAGATTGCTCCAGAGGGGTGAGGGAGAGAAACTGAGTGCTCCCAGTGGAAGACCTTGAAGGTTGGTGGTGAGGAAAAGAACACATCCTGTTCTGCGACTGTAACCTGCAGAGCCATGTGGTCTGGCTGGTGGTGAGAGGCAGGCTAGAGGAAAGAATTTAATGACACCTCAGGTGTGGAGCTAACTCCTTAAAACTATATTCTGTGGAAAGAACCAGGGCCCCCCCACAAAGTGTTGGTGCAGGCCTCAGTTTGCTCCTCCTGACTTCAACATCATTCTGTTGCAGAAGAAGAAAGGAGGGCGCGGGCTAATGACCGAGAATACAATGAGAAATTCCAGTATGCGGTGAGTTGGAGCACATGAGTTGGAGAGGGGAAAGGTGCAGGGACTTCCAAGGTTGGGAATGAGAGCCGACTAGGAAGAGTGCTGGAGGGAGGGGAAGACAACTTCCTCGGCCATTCTCCATTTGTTGGTGTGCTGAATTTTTCATGCCTTCACCTGTCGGTGACCCCATGAAACTCCCATCTCTTCTCCTTCCACCCTCCTACACCTGGTGTTTGCAGGTTTTTAGGGCAAAGGTTTGGGGAAGTACAAAGATAGAGGAGGCAGCCTCCATCTGGCTCTGGGCTGGGTTTGGAGGCTGCCTCATTATCTTCTCTCCCACTGCCACAGAGTAACTGCATCAAGACCTCCAAGTACAATATTCTCACCTTCCTGCCTGTCAACCTCTTTGAGCAGTTCCAGGAAGTTGCCAATACCTACTTCCTGTTCCTTCTCATTCTGCAGGTGAGTGACCTGTAGTAGATCCTTTGCAACCCACAAAGCTGAATAAAGCCAAGGAAGGAGAAGGTCTAGGGAAAAGAAGGCATCATGTGGGGCATGCTTCTCTTTCCTCTTTTCAGTTGATCCCACAGATCTCTTCCCTGTCCTGGTTCACCACCATCGTGCCTTTGGTTCTTGTCCTTACCATCACAGCTGTTAAAGATGCCACCGATGACTATGTGAGTTGTTTTCATTCTTCTACTTTTTCCCACTTGCCCTATCCCCACCCCCAACTCACAGACACTTCAACTTAGCATAATTTCTTGGTGACTTTGACATCCCTTACCTGGTCCATGTTGTCTTTGCTGAGGGTGGGAACGAAGAGGGGGAGAGTTGGTCTGTGAATGGGAGTATAGAAGGTGTTACCTAGCATGCTGCGTTCCACCGATCATGTAATTCCCTTGAAGCGGGAGAAGGTGTCTTACCTTTCTCAGTTTTCTTCCCAGTTCCGCCACAAGAGTGATAACCAGGTGAATAACCGTCAGTCTCAGGTGCTGATCAATGGAATGTGAGTGCCTGTTGGAGACAAGGGCTCAGGAGGAAGGGGGTCCTCTGGGAACCTCTCTAGCTACTGACAGCCTCTTCACTGTCTTCTCGTTGCCTCAGCCTCCAGCAAGAGCAGTGGATGAATGTCTGTGTTGGTGATATTATCAAGCTAGAAAATAACCAGTTTGTGGCGGTAAGGGACAGTACCCCTGTAGGCCTGTAGGGTTCTTTGGCAGAAAGGGATAAGTCTTTCTTGATTTACTATTTCCTCTTAAACACCAGTGGAAGGAAATTTTCTTGAGTGGGGGACTTCTGTGTCATGTTAACGTGCCTGGGACTGGCCATTCATAAGCTTAGAAAGCAAACTAAGAATACTTAGCAGAAGGAGAGATCATCAAAGAGTGCATTGGGGGCAGAGGTTTGGGTATTTGGACTTCTCATTAGGTTTTCTCTCTAGGCGGATCTCCTCCTTCTTTCTAGCAGCGAGCCCCATGGGCTGTGTTACATAGAGACAGCAGAACTCGATGGGTAAGTGGCATGCTCAGTGTCAGCCCTCTCCTCTGTCTCCCTGTGGGTAAAAAGACTGTCTTTGAAAGAGGTTCCCAGGTCTGCGCTCTGTCTAAATTTGGGAAACTTAGGGGTAAGAAAGGCTTAGGATGTAGCCGTATTACCCACCCGGTATTTGCTGGGCTATGCAGTTATGTCTTGTGGTTAGGTGCCCCCAGGTAGAATCTAGAGGAAGGGGAGGGAGCCAGGACTCAGGGATACTGTCTTTCCAGAGAGACCAACATGAAAGTACGTCAGGCGATTCCTGTCACCTCGGAATTGGGAGACATCAGTAAGCTGGCCAAGTTTGATGGTGAGTAATCTTGGAGAAGCAATCTTCAGGTAAAGGAGGTCTTAGGTAGAGGAGTTGGGTTAGGTTTTAGGGTTTAAATTGTACCTTTTCCTTTTGGCTTCTTTTTGCTATGATTTTCTAACTCTGTGGACTTTTGCAGGGGGAGGGGAGTGTTGGGGATGGCAGGTGCTACTATGTGTTTTTTTTTCTTTTTTTTTTACCCCTCACTCTTTTTTTTCTTTTTGAGACAGAGTCTCATTCTGTTGCCCCGGCTAGAGTGCTATGGCATCAGCCCAGCTCACAACAACCTCAAACTCCTGGGCTCAAGCAATCCTTCTGCCTCAGCCTCTCGAGTAGCTGGGACTACAGGCATGCGCCACCATGCCCGGCTAATTTTTTCTATATATCTTTAGTTGGCCAATTAATTTGTTTCTATTTTTAGTAGAGGCGGTGTCTCGCTCTTGCTCAGGCTAGATTCGAACTCCTGACCTTGAGCGATCCACCTGCCTCAGCCTCCCAGAGTGCTTGGATTACAGGCATGAGCCACCGTACTGTGTGGTTTTGAGTTGATTATTATTTTAAGGGAGATTCCTGGCTGACAGTTCCCCACTTGCTGTGCTTGTCGAGAGTAATTCAGCTTGTTCTTTTTGATTATTAGCTTGGAATAATGCTACATGCTCCCTATAATAAGACAAACTGTATACAGAGTGTTTAAGAAAAAGTTAATAGCCACTCCTTCCCTCAACTTCTACCCTACTTAGGTAGCCGTGTTAACTGATAGTTCAGCATGTATTCATCCACACTTTTACACATGTTTATACAAATGTATTAGTTCATGCTGCCTCATTCTTTTCCTGAAAAGTTGCAGTGGTTCCTGCTCCCACCAGCAGTGTGAATGGGCCTGTGTCCTTATGTCCTCTCCCTCGGCTGCTTTTTCTCTGTTTCATTGTTTTGTGGTCAGGCTGCAGACTGGACCTTGAGCAGCGGGACTCTTGTCTCTTATTCAGGTGAAGTGATCTGTGAACCTCCCAACAACAAGCTGGACAAATTCAGCGGAACCCTCTACTGGAAGGAAAACAAGTTTCCCCTGAGCAACCAGAACATGCTGCTGCGGGGCTGTGTGCTGCGAAACACCGAGTGGTGCTTCGGCCTGGTCATTTTTGCAGGTGAGACTCCTAGCATCCGAAGCAAGAAGGGTAAGTGTTAGTGACTCAGCCAGCCCTCCCTCAGGAGTATGGGATGAGTCTGAGTGGGCTGGTAGAATACATAAAATAAAAAAACCTCCAGCCCAGAATATAAGCCTCTTGTCCAGCCAGCGTCTTTGTTCCACCCTGATGTCCTGCAGTCTGGGGACCAGGGGAGAAGCCTAGAGGTGGATTTGTTATTTGGTTTTCCTAGCCCTTCTCATTCTTTTCTAGGTCCCGACACTAAGCTGATGCAGAACAGTGGCAGGACAAAGTTCAAAAGAACGAGCATTGATCGCCTGATGAATACACTGGTGCTCTGGGTAAGACTTCTCACATCTGGTTCCCTGCCCCTCCCCTTCTGGTTTTCCAGAAAAGCAAAAGGAAAAGCAGTTCCTTTTGCTTTCATCTCTCTTCCTTGGTCAGTAGTCTTCAGGTTTGGCTTTAAAGCCACCACCAGGTCAGCTACTCAAAGGCAGTGTTTATTTCAGGCTCCTTTTAGACTTGGAAGATGTTATTTAAAAAAACTTTAGGAACGTGCATGAATCAACACTTAAAGAAAGCTAAAACAAATCATCCCTTCTCTGAATTCCAATTACGATGATGACTTAGTGCAACATGTGACCTTCTGTTTGCTTTTGCTAAGGACAAGGAGGCCTTCATGGGGATGGAGAAGGAATTGAAGAAAAATTTCCACTTGGAAGATGGTTAGCAGGGTCTTTTCCCCCAACTTCTAAGAATGAAGGATCCCAAAGGAAAAGTTTCTGTTTTAGTTTTTTGGCAGTTCCTGAATCCTTCTCTTGTTTAGCTAGAAATCTGAGCTCCTTGTTGGGCATTCCTCCTCTTGTACCCCTACTGCCTGCTGCCTGCCCCCTACCCACATGCCAGCTTGCAAAGGCTGGAGCCAGCCTCTGGTGAGAGTTTCCACCCAGCTTTAAATGGTTTGCAGATACCCAGCCTGGGGAAAGTGTGGTTAAGTCTATCATGCAGAGGCTTGTTTCGCCCCCTGGTGGTCATTGGGCACCAGGCAGGTGCCTGTTTTGTTTCAAAACTTCAACAATAGAGGCAATCTTGGAAATAGATGTCGGAAGCCAGACAGTGGCCTCAATTTTTTCCTTTTTTTTGAGACAGAGTCTCACTCTGTTGCCCGGGCTAGAGTGCTGTGGCGTCAGCCTAGCTCACAGCAACCTCAAACTTCTGGGCTCAAGCAATCCTTCTGCCTCAGCCTCCCGAGTAGCTGGGACTGCAGACATTCGCCACCATGCCCGGCTAATTTTTTCTATATATTTTTAGTTGACCAATTAATTTCTTTCTATTTTTTAGTAGAGACGGGGTCTCACTCTTGCTCAGGCTAGATTCGAACTCCTTACCTTGAATGATCCGCCCACCTCGGCCTCCCAGAGTGCTAGGATTACAGGCGTGAGCCACCTTGCCCGGCCAATTTTTTCCTTTTAATCACCAAAACTTTTTATGATCCTTCTTCAAACACTCCAAGCTTTATAAGATTTTTGATTAATCAAGAAATCTGTCTACATTTATGAAAATACAGTTTGTTTCCCTGGTTTTAACAAAAAGGGCATTCTGTAGGAGATAATAAACATTATAATAACTTTGCATTTTTGTTGGCTTTTGGAGGCTTAGCTGGGGAAAGCAAAATGAGTAATTTACAAGTTTTTTGGTATTTTAAAAGTAGCTCACCCCCACTCTTACCGTAACCTTTGAGGACTCCTGAAGGTTCTGGGCTGCCAGATTGGGAGCCAGTCAACTACTTCTGCTTCCCCATCACACAGACGGGATAATGTTCCAAGAGCAGTCCACGTGATTACCCGAGACAGACTAGAACCTGCCGCAGTTCTGAGCTCCTTCCAGTAGAGCACGATGCCAGTTTAAAGATACCTGAGCTTTTGGGGGCTCAGGGTACAAGTGGTGACTTGAGGGCTTTCTCAGTGTCAGCCTGGCCCCTGCTTCTCATTCCTCCCCAGATTTTTGGATTCCTGGTCTGCATGGGGGTGATCCTGGCCATTGGCAATGCCATCTGGGAACATGAGGTTGGGGCGCGCTTCCAGGTCTACCTGCCCTGGGACGAGGCGGTGGACAGTGCCTTTTTCTCTGGCTTCCTCTCCTTCTGGTCCTACATCATCATCCTCAACACCGTTGTGCCCATTTCGCTCTATGTCAGGTACGTGCTTTCTTTGCCCCAGGGTCTTTCCAGGGAGCCCAGCTGGTCCCTTGGAAGACTTTTCTTGTCTATGATCATGAAATCTTTGAGAAGGAACTTGAAGTCCTCTTCTTCCTGTACTGTGAGCATTTTATGTTATCTGTTTATCTTTGTGTGCAGAGCAAACTTTTTACCACAGTTTCCTGGAACTTGGGACTGTATTAGAGCAAAAGCCATACTGATTTATTCAGCACATATTTATTGCTTGCCTACTATGTGCCAAGAAGTGTGCTTAGGTGCCATGGCACAAACAAAGATGAATTAGAAATAGATCTCCTCCCCTCTAGGGGCTCCAGTGTAATAAAAGAAGAAAAATCTAAACACATTATAAAACGAAATAGGAACAAGTGCTATAGAACTCATTCTACCTGAAGTCTTCTGTGTGAAGCAAAGGGACACAGAATTGTGTGAGGCGGCCTCTGCCTTCAGAAGCAGCCGTTGGGTTGGGGAGGGGCGATCGGAACATGTCAGGCTGGGTTATCATTGGAAGGCACAAAGCACCAGGAAGGCTGGAAGACCGTTGCTCCCTGTGCAGCTAATCAAGGGGGACCTCCCTGAAGAGGTGGCAGTTGCTCTGGGTTTTGGGTGGTGACAGGGATGGGTGAAGGTGGAGCCACAAAGAAGAGGAGAAGAGGGCTGGAAACAAAGGCATGGAGGTAGGGACCTGGGCATGGCTTATGGAACAGTTTGGCCGTGCATGGGCCGTGAGTGAGGAGCTGTGGGAGGGAGAGCTGGAAACATCAGCCTGCTCCTGATTGTGGAGGCTTTTCCGGCTTTGCCTGTGCACTCTGTATTGAGCCATTAGAGGTTTTGAGAAAAGTGAAAGAATGCATTCTAAAAAAAGTCTGAAGAATGCTTTAGGAAGTGTGTGCAGCATGAATAGGATCAAGGAGACATCTGGGATATTTGAGGTAAAGAGAATGTTAACGGTGACTGGGCCATGGAGAATGAAGGGGAGGAGGGAGGAAGAGGAGGAAGAATGGCCGGGAGAAAGAAACTTTCTTACTTAGTGCCTTGCACTGGAGATAAGGGGATCTGTGATGTTTTTAAGGAAATGTTTTATAGAGGTGCTCCGAACTCTTCCTATCTTCCGTCTTTTTTTCACACAGATTTTTTTTTTCAGACTATTCCCCCAAATAGTCCTCAACTCTCCCCACCAGCTCCCAAATCCTAGTCTGATGATAATGAGTACAAGACAAAGTGCTTCTGTGCTGAGGAGTCCAGTCTGGGCTTTCCTAGTGCATGAAGAGAAGAGTTGGAAGGACCTTGGTTTAGTCCTGCCCTCTCGCTGGGCACGTGACCTCAGGCAAATCCACAGTTACTCAGGGCCTCACACTATTTCAGTTTTCTCCTGTAAAATAGGAACAATAATACCTGTTTCACTTTGTTTGTAGGGATGGCTTGATAAAAGATACTGTATTAGGGCCGGGTGCGGTGGCTCACATGTGTAATGCCAGCACTTTGGGAGGCTGAGGCAGGAGGATCACTTGAGGCCAGGAGCACAACACCAGCTTGAGCAACATAGCGAAAACCCTTCTCTACAAAGAATTACAAAATTAGCTGGGCATGATGGTACAGCCATAGTCCCAGTTACTGGGAGGCTGAATCAGTAGTATGGCCTGAGCACAGGAGTTCGAGGTTGCAGTGAGCTACGATCATACCACTGTACTTCACTCCAGCGTGGTCAATAGAGCAAGACTCTGTCTCTAGAAAAAAATAAAATAAAAAGATGCTGTATTGGAAAATACATTGTAAAAATTAAATTACTGTACAAATACTGGGTGGTATAGCATGTTCATCATTATCATTGCAACTCCAGTTCTACATTACTATTTTTTTTTTTTTTTGAAACACAGTCTCACTCTGTTACCCGGGCTAGAGTGCTGTGGCATTATCCTAGTTCATAGCAACTTCAAACTCCTGGGCTCAAGTGATCCTCCTGCCTCAGCCTCCTGAGTAACTGGGACTACAGGCATGTGCCACCATGCCTGGCTAATTTTTTCTATATATATTTTTAGTTGTCCAGCTAATTTCTTTCTATTTTTTTTTTTAGTAGAGATGGGGGTCTCACTGTTGCTCAGGCTGGTCTCAAATTCCTGAGCTCAAACAACCTGCTCGCCTTGGCCTCCCAGAGTGCTAGGATGACAGGCATGAGCCCCCCAACCCGGCCTAGTTCTGCATCACTATTGAAAAATGTTTTGCTTTTTGTTTTCCCATCTTTGGGCTTTGCTGTTCATGTTTTGTATCTAAGTTCACTTAAAGCCCCTGGTAGCAGCCTAAGACAGTTTCTGAGTCTTATCAGGTTAAAGGGTGTATGTTTTTGGGCATGAGGGTGACGAGCTGTATGCAGGAAAGGCTATGAAGATGTTTCCAGCTCTCTTTTTGCCTGGGAACGAGGTCCTGATAGGACCCTTAGCTAGGTCAGAAGCAGGGTTCCAGGAATGGTTCAATTGTTCAGTGGTACTGGATCTACACTCGGGGCCCTTTCTGGAAAGTTGAACAGCCTACATCCCAAGTGCCGATTAGCAGGAAGAGGACGTGTGCAGACCTGGGGGTGTGGAGTGCACTGTGCTGCCGTACGCTGGTGCCATTGCCCAGATTCTCAGGCCCCTCTCCCCTGCGGAGTCAGCGCCCCAGCTTTGCCCCGCGTTCTTTCCCGAAAGCCGCAGAGTCAAGGTTGTGGGGCCACCCAGGGTGGAAGGAGTGTGCTCCACCTGTGCCAGGGCAGGGAGGAGTGGGCTTTAAGCTCTCTCCGTTTTCCTTCCCCAGTGTGGCCCCTCTTTGGGGTGGCGTCTGTGTTACGGCAGGCACAGCACCCTCATTATTTCTCTCTCTTTTTTTTCTCTCTCCCTATCTTCTTGCACTTTCTCTTGTTTTTCTCTGCATGGTTTCTGTATTATTAGTCCTGAGGTAAGAACTGGTTGAGTGCCTCGTCTGCAGTCCCTTTGCTCCTCTGCCTGTGCTGTCTGACCTGCCTGCCCAGGCCCTTTGCACCCTTTTGTCTGGAGAACGTCAAAGGGTGGGGCGGGAGCTCCTCTGCCGGCTCTGTCAGCTGGCTCCACCTCCAGGCTCTCCCTGCCCTTTCCCGCCCAGGTTCCCAGGTGTCTTCTCCGTTCTCCGTCTCTCCCCAGGCGAGGGCCTGTAGTGAAGGCCCATGGGTGTGGGGTGCCTCCTCCCGTTCCCCAGCCCAGCCTCACCTCCTGTCCCCTGTGCAGTGTGGAGGTCATTCGTCTGGGCCACAGCTATTTCATCAACTGGGACAAGAAGATGTTCTGCATGAAGAAGCGGACGCCTGCGGAGGCCCGCACCACCACCCTGAATGAGGAGCTGGGCCAGGTGGAGTACATCTTCTCCGACAAGACGGGCACCCTCACCCAGAACATCATGGTCTTCAACAAGTGCTCCATCAATGGCCACAGCTACGGTACGTGGTGCCACCTGGACCCGGGGGGCTTGCATCTCGCCTGGGAGGACTGGAATTCAGGCTCCCACAGACGTCTGGACGCTGGGTTTTTCTTCCTTCTTACTTGGGTCTGAGGGGCCTTAAAAAGGTCCGTTCTGAGGACCACAGTTTCCTGCAGCTGTTTTCTAGCACTTGCCAACCCTGAGCCTGGCCTGACTTGAATACTGTGTTTTCTCCCTGTGCCGGTTGCTCTCCCACCTGTCCTGCCTTCTGCCATCCTGGGGTGAATGGATTTTATAATTCTAGCTGTTGGATTTTGTGGATTTGTTGCTTTTCTTGTTTTTCTGTGAAGCATGTGCATTGGATGTGGGAGGTAAAGGAGTATGTCAGTTGCTCTGGTCACTCCTTTTTTTTAAAATTTATTTTTTATTTTTTGAGACAGAGTCTCACTCTGTTGCTCAGGCTAGAGTTTCGTGGCGTCAGCCTGGTTCACAGCAACCTCAAACTCCTGGGCTCAAGTGATCCTTCTGCCTCAGTCTCCCGAGTAGCTGGGACTACAGGCATGCGCCACCATGCCTGGCTAATTTTTTCTATATATTTTTAGTTGGCCAATTAATTTCTTTCTATTTTTTAGTAGAGATGGGGTCTTGCTCTTACTCAGGCTGGTTTTGAACTCCTGATCTTGAGCGATCCACCCGCCTCGGCCTTCCAGAGTGCTAGGATTATAGACATGAGCCATCAGCCAGCCTGTTCACTCCTTTTATAGCCCTCACTGTCTTGTTTCTTATAACTCAGGTTAGGTTTTAGTCTCTGTTGCTCCACTGCAGGGAAAAAAAAAAAAAGAACCTGAAGAGACTAAGAGATGAGACAGGAGGAAAGACATCACAGCGGCCGGGCGTGGTGGCTCATGCCTATAATCCTAACACTCTGGGAGGCTGAGGCAGGAGGCTTGCTTGAGCTCGGGATTTCAAGACCAGCCTGAGCAACAGCTAGACCCCGTCTCTACTATAAATAGAATTAGCCAAACAACTAAAAGTAGAAAAAATTAGCCGGGCATGGTGGTGCATGCCTATAGTCCCTGCTACCTGGGAGGCTGAGGCAGGAGGATTGCTTGAGCCCAGGGGTTTGAGGTTGCTGTGAGCTAGGCTGACGCCACGGCACTCACTCTAGCCTGGGCAACAGAGTGAGACTCTGTCTTAAAAAAAAAGAAAGACCTCACAACCAGATCTACCGGGTTTTGGAGTGATTGTTTTCTTCCTGTTGAAAGTCCCCCAGTTATGGGGGAGGTACCAATTCTGGCAAGTGCCACTGCAACACAATACTCAGAGAACCTGAAGTTTTCATCTCTGGGAGAGCAGAAACTTACTGTTGGCCACTGCTGGTTCTGTCTGGTATTTTAAAGGAACGTTGGGTGCTGCAAATAGGAACTGAAAGGGTAAACTTGTTAAACCCATTAAATCCTGTGATTGGTTGGTATTTTCCTGTCATTGTAAGAGACTAACTGTGGGGGGAATGTCAAAATACTTGTATAGTTTTAAAATTTCATAAATAAATGTGAGCTGGTTTCCCACACATAGACAAAAAAGAAATCCATTCTGTATCAGGAAACAAATACTGAGAGTCCTCCTTTCGTCCTCCCCTGTTGCCTCCCCCTGGTCTCAGCCCCAGGCAACAGGGGAGCTCCTTAGCTATTTGCAGTGAAGCCCAAGATACTGGCCTCTGGGTGTCTTGGCCAGGTGGGACCTTGGCCGCCCTGGTGGAGTGCTAGACTCTCCCTGTGTTGCTGCTCAGGGCGCTTGTGAGTCTCTGGAATATGACTGTAGTCTTCCCGGTGTGGCCACGCTGCAGTGGCCTGTGGCTGAGCTGCTGGGGTGGCCTGGGCAGTGTGTAGGGGCTGACTTCTGTGCAGAGTGTGAGCTCCGCTTGCAACTGCTTTCTGGACTAACCTGCACCTCACAGCCAGTGCGCGAGGCTTCGTGGCACAGCCCTAAAGGGTGCAAGGAGGCCTGGGAGCCCTGTGTGGGGGACACATAGAATTGGGGCTGCCCTGAGGGGAGAGCCACTGGGAGAGGGGGGCCAGGGGTGGGGTAAGCACAGCCAGCATCCTGGAGTTCTGGGACTCTGGTTGCCTGCTGCCTCCTGTCCCATGGCAGTGTGAGCGTGTGTGACATCTGCTCAGTGATTAAAGCTAAATGTTCAAGTGCCTGTGGGGGTTCCATATTGGAGGCTTCTCCCCCTTGCTCTGGAGATCGAAAGTTCTGACATTGTCTCTCACTCTGTCCTGGCTGTGTGTAGGTGACGTGTTTGATGTCCTGGGACACAAAGCTGAATTGGGAGAGGTAAGAACTTCATAACTCTACGTGCCAGTGAAACAGGGTGCCTGACCGGGAACGCTCGGTGTAGTCAGGAGTGGTGTGTTGTCTGGGCTGGAAGCAGAAGCTGCTTGGAGAAATGGGTGATTGATTGATTAATTGATTGATTATTTTTAATACCCTCTTAAGCCTGTGGATCGTACAACTCCCTGCAAACTGCCAGGAGGGCGGCGGGAAAAGGGGCAGAAATGGGTGTTTTAAGGAAGAGTTGGTGACAGAAGTGGGAATTTTGAGGTCCACAGTGGACAGGATCTTGGGTTCTCTTTACCGAGAGTTGGGAGAGCAGGGACAACCGCTGTCCTGGGGGGCAGCCTGGCAACCCAACCTTTCCTAAGACCCTTCTTCCCTGTTCTAGAGGCCTGAACCTGTCGACTTCTCCTTCAATCCTCTGGCTGACAAGAAGTTTTTATTCTGGGACCCCAGCCTCTTGGAGGCTGTGAAGATGGGGGACCCCCACACACATGAGTTCTTCCGCCTCCTTTCCCTGTGTCATACCGTCATGTCAGAAGAAAAGAATGAAGGTGGGCCGAGGAGCTGGCTCGCTGTCTCCCCTGACCTGACTCGTGGCCTTGGACTCTGCTGTGCTCTGCACTGCAGCTGGGCTCGGGCTTCCTGGGTGGAGCAGGTGGCTAAGAGGGTGGCCACTTATCCCACGCGTGTTCTTCCTTCCTCCCCACCCAGGAGAGCTGTACTACAAAGCTCAGTCCCCGGATGAAGGGGCCCTGGTCACTGCAGCCAGGAACTTCGGTTTCGTATTCCGCTCTCGTACCCCCAAAACAATCACCGTCCATGAGATGGGCTCAGCCATCACCTACCAGCTGCTGGCCATCTTGGACTTCAACAACATCCGCAAGCGGATGTCGGTCATAGGTGAGGCCAGGCCTGGGGTGCTGGGGGCATTTGGGGCTTGGAATGGGGGAGGCGTGCCGGGTGACTCCTGTAGATACGTTTAGGTTGGCATCTTTGCCTGCCTGAATTTTCCTACCACTTTCTCTCTCTGCTCCATTACTAGTGCGGAATCCAGAGGGGAAGATCCGACTCTACTGCAAAGGGGCTGACACCATCCTGCTCGACAGACTCCACCACTCCACCCAAGAGCTGCTCAACACCACCACTGACCACCTTAATGTGGGTGTGAGGAGAGGGGGCCGCCTGGGGCTCTGCTGCTCTCAGTGCTCAGGGAGGAGGGTGGGATGTGTGGCTTGTTTTGTTTTACTGTATAGATTTATTTTTTTATATACAATTTTTTATTTATTTAATTTTTATTTAATCCTTCGCTACTAATTATTTTATTTTTCTATTTATTTAATTTTTATTTAATGTATAAGTTTAAATTTAAGGTATATGACATTTTTTTAAAAAATGAATTTAAGGGATACAAGTGCAGTTTTGTTGCAGGGACATATTGCGTAGAATAGAGGTGAAGTCTGGGTTTTTAGTGCTACCATCACCTGAACAGTGCACATTGTACTCGTTAAGTAACGTCTCATGCTACAGGAGACAGTGCTCTCCCTCACCCCTGTCCCTCCTCCCAGCCTCCTTCAGTGCTCTGACTCCGCACTCCATGCGGCATGATGTTTTGATCCACTGATGCGCAGCGAGGTGATTACTACAGTCAGGCAAATTAACACACCAGCCATGTCACATACCTCACATAGTTACCTCTTTGTGTATGTACATGTGTGTGTGTAGTAGGAGCACCTGAAATCTACTCTCTTAGCAAATTTCCAGTACACAGTGCAACAGTAAGAATTGTAGCCTTCATGCTGTATGTTAGCTCCCTAGACTTACCGAGGTGTGAATTTCCTGACTGTGCCTCCAGGAGTACGCAGGGGAAGGGCTGAGGACCCTGGTCCTGGCCTACAAGGATCTGGATGAAGAGTACTATGAGGAGTGGGCTGAGAGACGCCTCCAGGCCAGCCTGGCCCAGGACAGCCGGGAGGACAGGCTGGCCAGCATCTACGAGGAGGTCGAGAGCAACATGATGGTATGGGCTGTAGCGTGGGCCAGGGGTGGGCAAGGAGGGGTCGTGCCTGAGATTCTCGTGCCAGGGACCCTTGTGGTATTTTCAGTTGCTGGGTGCAACAGCCATTGAGGACAAGCTTCAGCAAGGGGTTCCAGAGACCATTGCCCTCCTGACGTTGGCCAACATCAAGATTTGGGTGCTAACGGGAGACAAACAAGGTGAGAGCCCAGCAGGGCAGAGAAATAGCTTCTGGACAGTAGCCTGTTGGACCCCCCGTGTGGAGCCAAGGACGTCAGGCAGGAGAGTGTGCTGACCTTTTTGGATGCCTGTCCGTAGCTCCTGCGTTCTCTCTTGGTAGAGACGGCTGTGAACATTGGCTATTCCTGCAAGATGCTGACGGACGACATGACCGAGGTGTTCATAGTCACTGGCCATACCGTCCTGGAGGTGCGGGAGGAGCTCAGGTAAACAGGAGGCCCAAGGGAGGCAGAGGCCCTGCGCTATGCTAAGGGCTCAGGCAGGGGTTTCTGGACCCTTCTTAGTCTCGAGTTCCTATTCCCCACTGCTGTCCTGGAAGACCACTGCCATTTCATTTTCACTTTCGCAGGAAAGCTCGGGAGAAGATGATGGACTCATCTCGCACTGTAGGCAACGGCTTCACCTACCAGGAGAAACTTTCTTCTTCCAAGCTCACTTCTGTCCTGGAAGCCGTCGCTGGGGAGTACGCCCTGGTCATCAATGGCCACAGCCTGGTAAGCACCACCATCCTTAGCTTGGGCGGTATCTTTTGAGAGAGCACTTATCTCCTCCAGCTTTTATGTTAATATCTTGTTCTCATTTCCCCTGATTTCAGAGGGGGCTGTGGTCTTACAGGGGCGGGGAGGAGCTGAGACTCCCAGCTATCTCCTGGGAAGACTGTGCCTCTCTTAGGTCTCTCTGTGTTCCAGGCCCACGCACTGGAGGCAGACATGGAGCTGGAGTTTCTGGAGACGGCCTGTGCCTGCAAAGCTGTCATCTGCTGCCGGGTGACCCCCTTGCAGAAGGCACAGGTGGTAGAACTGGTTAAGAAGTACAAGAAGGCTGTGACACTTGCCATTGGCGATGGAGCCAACGATGTCAGCATGATCAAAAGTGAGTGTGGACTATGCAGGTGTGTAGGCTGGGCGGGAGGATAGGCAGGGGCCCACTGAGGTCTCTGGACCAGGGAAGAACGACAGGGGAGGGGAGCTGTAAGATCTAAAGTGTGTAGCCATCTTCACCTTCTTGTCATCTCTGTCTCTGCAGCGGCTCACATTGGCGTGGGCATCAGTGGGCAGGAAGGGATCCAGGCTGTCCTGGCCTCCGATTACTCCTTCTCCCAGTTCAAGTTCCTGCAGCGCCTCCTGCTGGTGCACGGGCGCTGGTCCTACCTGCGCATGTGCAAGTTCCTCTGCTATTTCTTCTACAAGAACTTTGCTTTCACCATGGTCCACTTCTGGTTTGGCTTCTTCTGCGGCTTCTCCGCCCAGGTAGTAAGCGTTCCCGGTCCACTGTGGTGCACATCTGTAAGCTCTTTAAGGGCAGAGGTTGCGTCTGTCCTGCTCATTGCTCAGTCCCCCAGAGCCTAGCTATCGTCTGGTACATACATTTAAAAAATGCTTGTTGAGAAGTGGAGAGGGAGCTCGAGAGAATTTCGTAGGGCTCCCTGTGACACCAGCTGTCTTCCTGTGCCTGATTTGTAGGGAAGGAAGGTTGCATACTCATCTCTTGCTCCCTTTCTCTTCCAGACTGTCTATGACCAGTATTTCATCACCCTATATAACATCGTGTACACTTCCCTACCAGTGCTGGCTATGGGGGTCTTTGATCAGGTATGGGGGAGTTTGATGATTAAGCAGGATGGGGGAAGGCCATTGCTTGAAGGAGTCACACTGATGTGTTGGATGCGCCATTGTGCCCACTGCCTGTGGTCACTGGGAAGGCAGTTCTTTCAGTGGGGGAGGGGTGGCTGTTTCCCCCTCTCAGCTGCAGCTGAATAAAGATGCATTGGGTACAGCTGGCTTGAGGTTGCTTCTAGCTGCCAAAGACTTTGGGAAGGAGGAGGCAGGGGCAGAGTCTGCCCTTGGCCATCCTGAGTCAAAATGGCAATTTCTGAGGCCTCCTGTGCCACGTGGCCCTCCCCACACAGGATGTCCCTGAGCAGCGGAGCATGGAGTACCCTAAGCTGTATGAGCCAGGCCAGCTGAACCTTCTCTTCAACAAGCGAGAGTTCTTCATCTGCATTGCCCAGGGCATCTACACCTCCGTGCTCATGTTCTTCATCCCCTATGGGGTGTTTGCCGAGGCCACCCGAGACGATGGCACCCAGCTGGCTGACTACCAGTCCTTCGCAGTCACTGTGGCCACGTCCTTGGTCATTGTGGTTAGCGTGCAGGTATGAGGCAGTCTAGGAATTTCTCTCTTCTCTGGAAGGAGTGAGCCTCCTGTCCCTGGGGCTGCCCTGGGCACCCCAGTTCTGTTTCTGAGAGGGGAACGGGGTTTTTAGTAACTACACCTACTTTTTGCAGATTGGGCTGGACACAGGCTACTGGACGGCCATCAACCACTTCTTCATCTGGGGAAGCATAGCTGTGTACTTTGCCATCCTCTTTGCCATGCACAGCAACGGGCTCTTTGACATGTTTCCGAACCAGTTCCGGTTTGTGGGTAAGTCCCTGTGTCTTCCTGTTGAATCAATGAGGAATCAAAACTGTTCTGGGACTCACAAGGTGGGCAGCCAGTCTGCACATCGTGAGCATTGATTCAGTACTCCTTAAGTGCCCTATGTTCGGTGAGGTGCTGTGGGGATGGCAAGGTGTATCTGACCCAGGCTCTGCCCCAAAAGAGCTTCCATCAGTCCTGGGAGGTCAGGGCTCCAAAGGGTTGGGGGGTTGTGGGCTTTGCAGTTAGCAAAGTCTTGCCTTTGGGGTGGCCAGGGATAGTTCCGGAGAGAAGGCTGCTGGGAGTGGAGTCAGGCCTGGGGAGTTAGGTTCCAAGGTGGAGAGCTGGAGGTGTTTGTAGGGACTGGAGAGTGCTCCAGCTAAGGTGGGCAAGAACCGCCACTGAGGCTGGGTGCGGTGGCTCACGCCTGTAATCCTAGCACTCTGGGAGGCCGAGGCAGGCGGATTGCTCAAGGTCAGGAGTTCAAGACCAGCCTGAGTAAGAGTGAGACCCCATCTCTACTATAAATAGAAAGAAATTAATTGGCCAACTAATATATATAAAAAAAAATTAGCTGGGCACGGTGGCGCATGCCTGTAGTCCCACTACTCAGGAGGCTGAGGCAGGAGGATTGCTTGAGCCCAGGAGTTTGAGGTTGCTGTGAGCTAAGCTGACGCCATGGCACTCTAGCCTGAGACTCTAGCCTAGTCTGAACAAAGTGAGACTGTCTCAAAAAAAAAAAAAAAAAGAACCGCCACTGAGAGGCAGTGGGAGAGAGGCTGGGAAGGTGGGATATTCAAGGTGTCAAAATGCCAGGCTGTCAGGATTGCGTTTGACTTGCCAGGAGTCTTTTAGAGGAAGAGGTGACAATCAAAAGATTGCTTGAGAAAGGTAAAGGTGGCATCGAGGAAGCCACTGTAGTGACCAAGTGTTAGGCTGTTCAGAACTGCTGCCCGGGTGGCCGTGGTGGGTAGCAAAGAGGGGCTGGTTGGGAGGTATGAAGTGGGGGAAGCATTTGTGAGTCCTGGCATTTGCTTTAGATCTGTTCGTTCATTCATCCCGTGGGCATCCCATCAACGCCTGCTATGTGGCCCGTTATTCTGGGTGCCAGGAGTGCAGCAACTGACCAAGCAGGCAAAGCGCTTGCCCTACCGAATCTTACGTACAAGAGACAGATAATTTACAAGTACATAGGTGTAATGTCTGGAGCTAATAAGTCCAATAAGAAACATCAAGTGGGGTGGGGAGTGACAAGCATGGTCAGGAAAGACCTCTTGAGGAAAGGACGAGTTGACAGAGAGATCTGAATAGAGGGAAAAGGGAGCAAGCCTCCTGGCTGTCTGGGAACTAACGATTGGAAAGTGGAAACAGCAATAAGAAGGCCTTACGTGGGGGCTTGGGAGGAGTGGAGGAAGTTGGGGGGTAGGGGTGCGTATGGGGACAGGGATGAGAATCAGTCTGGACCATTTAAGCCCTTATAGGTGAGAGTAAGCACTTTGAATTTTAATTTAAATGCAATAGGGAGCCATTGGAAGCTTTGGAGCAGGGTTTTGAGTTGACTTAATGTTTTTAAAGAGTCACTCTTGCTGCTTTGTGGATAATAAAGTATAGGGGCAAGGGTAGAAATGGGGAGACCAGTTGGAGGCTACAGCAGTAACCAGGTGAGCATGATGGTGGCTTGGATAGAGTAGAAAGGTGGAAAGACTTCAGAGATGATTTGAGAATGAAACCATCAGATTGCATGTGGGGTCCGAGGAGGGGAGAGAGACAGGTCAGGATTGACTGTGTGGTTTTAGTCAGAGCAACATGGACCAGATTTGGAGTGGAGGAAACAATAGTTCACTCTTGGCCATGTGATATTTGAAATGCCTGTTAGATGTTACCAGAGTTGTTAAAGAAGCAGGTCTGGAGTTTCAGGGGAGAGTTCAGAACTAAATTTGGAGATATACATTTGGGGGGTTGGGCAGGGAGAAGAGGGAAGCCAGAGATGACTTAGGTTTTGAGACTGGGGAAGTGGAGCCGCCCCGTATAGGCCCGGGGAAGTCAGGGGCTGGCCTTCTGTCTGCCTGGTGACTCCTGGGGCCCCTGACTCTTCCCCACCCCCAGGGAACGCCCAGAACACTCTGGCCCAGCCCACAGTGTGGCTGACCATCGTGCTCACCACGGTCGTTTGCATCATGCCTGTGGTCGCCTTTCGGTTCCTCAGGCTCCACCTGAAGCCCGATCTCTCCGACACGGTAAGAAGCCGGGCTGTCCGCTTGGGGGATGGAGGAAAAGGCGGGAAAGGGCCCTGGGCGAATGCTGGTGCAGCTGTTTCTGAGCTGTGCGACTGCTCAGTGTCCCATGTCAGTGGCGGTCACCGGCTCCTCTGCGGGACAGACAGCCTGTGTGGCTGAGGAGGTCCCGGGTGCTCTGGGTCCCTCTTCTGTGGTGGTGTCTGACACTACCATGCTAACCCCCTCCAGGTCCGCTACACCCAGCTGGTGAGGAAGAAGCAGAAAGCCCAGCACCGCTGCATGCGTCGGGTTGGCCGCACCGGTTCCCGGCGCTCTGGCTACGCCTTCTCCCACCAGGAGGGTTTTGGGGAGCTCATCATGTCCGGCAAGAACATGCGGCTCAGCTCCCTGGCGCTGTCCAGCTTCACCACCCGCTCCAGCTCCAGCTGGATTGAGAGCCTGCGCAGGAAGAAGAGTGACAGCGCCAGCAGCCCCAGTGGCGGGGCGGACAAGCCCCTCAAGGGGTGAAGGCTGGGATGGATCCCTGTGCCGGGTACCAGAGCACGCAGGGCCGGCTGCGTGCCGAGGGAACAGTCTTGGAACTGCTGGTCCTCGCTCCTTCCTCCCTGCTGGCCCCACCAGGAGTGGCTGAGGGCCCTGCCACCAGCTGGGGAGGTGTGGGGAGCGGGCCCAGGGGCAGAGCCGGGGCTGGGGAATCAGGAACCAGCCCCAGAGAGGGATCAGATGTGGAACCAAAAATAAGAAAAAACTGTGAGAGATTGGGTCTGCCCCTGCCCTGCCCGGGAGCCTACAGGGAGACTGTAATCTCGTATTTTTTTACTCCTACTCCCCAAAGGGGCCTAGCGCCCCTGTTCCTGAATTACACAAGAATGTATCATGCCGGGAAGCCAGAGACCTGCTGGGGCCTCTGGGCCCCTCACATTGTGTGTGTCTCTCTTTGGTTTGTGTTGTGTCCAGTTTGGTTTTGTCTTTTTTATTTGGCAGGTGGAGGAGGCCTTTATGTGACTTTTATGTTGTGGTTGGTGTCTTAACTCTCCTGGGAAGAGGAGGCTGGCACACACTGGGATGCCCTAGCCCAGCTGGATATAGAATGGTTTGGGAGGAGCCACCTCCCTTGGGTGTCCTTGCAGTGGCTAGTGCCCTTGCGGGGCAGAGGGGCTGACCCGGGGGAGGTACCGGTCAGCCAGAGGGTGTCAGGAGAGTATGAAGGAGGGTTTGGTCCTGTCTCCTTCCTCACCTTGAGAGTAAAGTGCTACCCTCTGCCCTCAACACACACCCACACCAATTCCTGGATTCCATAAGTCCTGCTGATACTGGGCTGGACCCTGGGAAAGTGGCCCCATCATTCTCAGTGAGCTAAAGCTGGGTATGAAATTTGGTCCAGAAAAAAAGAAATAGTTTTAAAATTTAGCCCCAAGTTCATTAACAGACTCCATTTTGACTCCCCCTTTCCCTCCTCATCTGTTGCTTTCTTGCACCTACACCCCAGGACCCTGAGGCAGGGCTGAAGGGGAACCTGGACTCTTTGCCCCCTTCTCCTGGTGAAGGCCCCACCCCTCCAGGCCCGCGTCTGGCAGGAGGTGGTGCAGTCCCAGTACTGGGCGGTGGTGGAGGAGGGTGAGGCTGGGCGGGAGACCGCCCGCGCAGTGCCTGGCGTGTTCTGGACAGGACTCCGTGGGAGCCTCAGCACAGCCTGTCCCTTTTCTCTACCCTCCACACCTATGAAGCTGTTCCCCAAATTAGGCATTTTCTAGTTAGTTGCTACCTGATCAGCCTTGGGAAGAATCCTTTCCTCTTCTTTGGTAGTGTGTGGGGGGCACTTCAGGAACGGTGTGGAGCTGGGAGTGGGGTGGGGATTTTATGTGCTCCATGCGAGAGCCCCAGAGGAGCTGGCGGTGGGCGGCAGGGAGGTGGGGGTGGGGGCAGGGGAAAGGGGAAGTCTTCACAGGGAAATCCCTTTTGGCCGCACAGTTTACAAACCCAGTATCATGTCTGTCTGTGTGTCTCTCAAGGTGAGAGTCTGATTTTTATACCAAAGAGGAAATGATTTTTTTTCATATTTGGTTTGTCTATATTATATAAATATATATATATATATAATATACAGTTATATATATATTATTTTTTTGGTTCTCTCTCGTTTTTTAGGGAGGGAGGAAAGTACCAAGTTGCATTGAGCTGTAATTAAGGAACATTCTGTATAATTTATGACACATTTCTATACTTGCAAAAGTTATATCATTTTATGGATATAAGAGAAAAATGCTTTTTATAAAATTTCAATTTCTGAGAAGTGTGTGATTGTCTCTTTTCTGATGTGTAATCAAGACTGGTGGTGAAAGTAAAGACAGATGGAAACTGTCTCTTAAATGTAATTGAGTGGGCAGCTCTGGGCTAAGGTGGACGAGATGGCTCTGACTGGTGGAGTGTGGCAGCTCCTCTATTTGCCCGCCTCCTGGGACCTGAGCTTTAGCTGGCAGATAGGGCAGTGGGTGGTCCTGAGAGGCACGTCATAGGGACTTGGTTTCAGCTGATGGCTAGGTGCCTGGGACCTTTCCAAACACAGGTCCCCCTCTCATTCCTAACATATGCCAGATGGGTGAGTGTGTGTAGGGAGAGCACCAGGTAAATAAGGTTTTTTTTTTTTGAGACAGAGTCTCTTTGTTGCCCAGGCTAGAGTGAGTGCCGTGGCGTCAGCCTAGCTCACAGCAACCTCAATCTCCTGGGCTCAAGCAATCCTGCTGCCTCAGCCTCCCGTACTGGGACACAGCATGCGCCACCATGCCCAGCTAATTTTTCTGTATAAGTTGGCCAATTAATTCTTTCTATTTATAGTAGAGATGGGGTCTCGCTCTTGCTCCAGGCTGGTTTCAATTCCTGACCTTGAGCAACCACCACCTCGGCCTCCCAGAGTGCTAGGATTACAGGCGTGAGCCACACACCGGCCATTTTTTCTTCCATCTTTTGTGTAAAACACACCTCCTTTGAGGCTCCTGCACTCAGACTCCCACTGTCTCCCTCCCTGCCACAGGCATCCCTTGACTCCTTCCTTCCCTGCACTCCCTGAGGACTTGGGCACCTGTTTTATTGTCTTCTGGCCCCTAGTCCACAATCATGTCGTCCAGTGCTTCCCTGCCATGTGGTGGCAAGTCTGTCTGACTCTACCCTTTCCCTCTGGCCTCCTCACTTCTAAGATCGTTCACCCTCCGTTCCACGGAAGCAGCACACTACGGCCACCTCCCTTTCCTGGTCTCACTTCCCTTCTGTGAGCCTTCACTTGCTTCCTATGCGGCTCAGAGCCCATAAGGTCTGACACCTGTCGCTCTGCCCAGGAACATTGTCCTACAGGAGCTGAGGAATGCAGACAGCACAGCACCCAAGGCAGAGGAGACGGCACGGGCTCTCCCTGTCACTCAGCCGGGCAGCGCTGGCATCTCTCGCTGCCTTCCTTCTCCTGCTCTCCTGACTATTCTTAACTCACTTTCCTCAACCCTTCCACCACTCCCACCCTACTATCAGCAGATGTTCTGCCTCTACTTCACAGGGGAAAATACTTCTTCAGCTTTCCCTCTCACCTACAAATGTCACTGCACACAGACACAGGGCCTTCCCGCCTCTGCCTGGGAGCCGGGCCCTGTGCACCCTGCTAGCCTGGCTCTGGCCCTCCTGCCTCCTGCCTCGAACCTTCCTTCCTCCACCATCACCCTCCTTCACTACTCATACTCTCCATTCCTTCTCCTTCACCAACTAATATGTTCAGTCTTCTGCTCACCCATCCGCACCCTCACCCCATCAACTGTGTTGTGATCTGGTCCATCTTATGAGCACAGTGTCTAGAAGAGCTCCTCTTCCCTACCTTCCCCACTCCCTGCAAGCTGGCTTCTCCCCCAGCCCCTGCAATGCTTCACTAAAATTACCTTTGACCTTCATGCAGCCAAGTCCAGCGGGCATTTCCAGGTTTGGTCTACTTGCACTCTTTAGTTCTTTCACTTTGTTGCCACCTTCTCCTGACCTCGCCCT